GAACCTGGGACTCTCTGGTCCACAGGCTGATTCTCCAACGGCTGAGCCAAACTGGCCAGGGCTAGTTTTTCTTTCTTTGAGCTTAGCTACACATGCTAAAATAAACATGCAGTTTTTATGTAATATTATATATATATATTTTTGTTTGTTTGTTTGTTTGTTTTTGTTTTTGTTTTTGTTTTTTTTGGTACGTGCCCCTAGCGGGAACCGAAGCCAAGACTCTCTGGTCCTCAGGCAACGCTCCAACCGCTGAGCCAAACTGGTCCGGGCTGTAATATAATATTTTTTAAAAAGCAAAGCCTTCTTTGGCGACCCACCATGTTCCATCTAACCATTTACCCCCATAGGTTAGGTTATACCAATGCAGCTTTTCCCTCCCAGATAGTGACCATGTCCCCTTTACACATGGGTGGCTCAAATGCTAAATTACCCTCCTTACAGTCCTCATGAAGTTTTTCAGGAAGTGTCTGCAAGTACCTTTCCCGAGGAACCTACTTAATCTGGAGTTGACAGAAACAGAGCATCTGAGGCGCTTAATAACTTGTCAAGGGTCCCACAGAAACTAAAAAAAACCAGGATTCTGACTCCAGAGGTTAAAGGTTTATACAGCAAACCTTTCTTTGACCTTTCTTTCTGTTAAAATGATCTGCCCTGTGGGACCTTTTTAGGATTACAGGTGAACTGTGTAAAGGGGCCTAGCCTAATGTCTGGCATATTTTAGGCTTATTCTAGGAGGACTGTTCTTTACAAACCACCAGGAGATTTTAAACAAAATCCAGCTTTTCTACCCAACAGCACAGCATTTTAAGTTAACTGTTAATCAGGACCAAGCCTGTGAGCAGACTTTCAGGTCCATTTGTATGGACATACATAGGCTCTTGAGTTATAGTTAAAATAAGGACTCTGTCAATGACCAAATTCAATAATTAAGTACATCCAGATGATACCACCAAGTCGACTTATACATGAACACATTTTTTGTCTTTTTTTATATCATAAGAGAATACATTTATGGAAATCGCTTATTTTTTTTGAACATGGGTAATTTACATATGATAAAGAGCACCCTTTGAAGTGTACAGGTTCCTCTTTGACCAATGTACACACCCACGTAAATCCCACTCCAGGCGTGATATAAAGTATTTCCACATCCCCAGGTGCATATTGAATTCCAAGTTCTCTTACAATTTCCCCGTGGTTGCAACCTCAGATCATTTGGTCTTACCCCTCATACTCTAGAAGTGGACAAGGGCCAATGAAGGTAAATGTGTCTGAGTACATTCTTTTAGGAAATGTTTTCTACACATCATTCTAACAAGATGCTTTTTTTTTTATCCTCACCCGAGGATTTTTTCCATTTTTTGTACAGATAGAGTGGGAGGGAGAGAGAGGAAGGGAGAGAGAGAGAAAAACATCGACGTGAAGGGACACATCGAGTGGCTGCCACCGCACGACCAACCAGGGCCGGGGACAAACTGCAACCGAAGTACGTGCCCTTAGCGGGAACGAACCCGGGTCTCTCCGGACCGCAGACCGACGCTCTAACCGCTGAGCCTAACTGGCCAGGGCACAAGATGCTTTTTCAATCTGCCGTTTCCTTAGCACACGTGGTTGGAACAGGATCCATGGAGGGGCTCCAAGCAGTCATTGTACGTTGGCCTCTCCATTGCTGCCCTGATGTTGGTGACGATTTTGGCTGCCATAGTTACCCAAAGTAAGTCATTTCAGGACTTTGTCCCAGGGAACAGAGGGAGGGTTCTAGAGCCAAACTGGGTCCACGGAGCTTCACACGCCACGTCATCACACACAACTTCCTGTTTCATAACCTTGGTCCTTTCGTTCCTTAAAAATATTGGCTCAGAAAGAGAAAAATGAAATTTAAATTTATCGTAGCAGAAAGTAAACACTAAGAATAAGAGTTTGCTGAGGAGAGCTGGGATTTGAAGGGCACAAACCACTGTACTAAGTAAGATTGGTTCACTCTTCTCCTCCCCTCCCCTCAAGACCCCGTTTTGGTTCCATGAAGGATAATGTTGAGGGTCTTACAACACTCACCCAGCTGAAGGGGCGAAGGAGACATTGGAAGGGAAACAGATGTCAGGGCTAAGGCTGGAATAACGGGTTTCTACAACTAGTCACCTACCTGCTGTGTGTGTGTGTGTGTGTGTGTGTGTGTGTGTGTGTGTGTAACCAGCCTCCATGAAAGAACCACAGTCATCCATTTTTCAAAAATGAAATATAATTATTAATAGTTTCACCAATGTGACTGGGGCATGTGTGTGAGTACACTGAACTATTAATGAACACAAGCTAGGTTGCACAGAGGGGCTTCCTTGGGTCCCACATAGTCAAAAGGAGTTACCTGAAGGCACCAGGGAAGAAACTAGTCTGAGTTTTATCTGTTTTCCTTTTTTAAAAAAACATTCTTCTAAATTTAGTTTTCTTAGCCTCTGGCTTTGTACAGATTTTGCTCTTATTCAAGTAGTAGCAGAAATAATATATATGTTTGAGAAAAGATCTCATGGAATCTTTGGCTGACATGTTTAATTTTTCTCTTCAACTTTTCCATGATTTAGAATATTTATGCGTGAAAAGAAAGGTGTTGCAAGTAAGGTGAGTTTGAAAGGTTTGTGTCAGTGCTTTTTGATGTTTCTACTCAAGTAAAAATGGAGAAAGTGTTTCTCTATTCCTTTCCTCTTCCTCCTGAACTCTCCATTTTACACCCTGGATCCTGAAAAATCTAGTTCAATGAGTGCGTCCATTGCTGTCCGCACCTCCCAGTGGTATCTTTAGCTTTCTATATTTCCCTGGAGTTGAGCCAGGAACTATGGCAGAAACAGCACCCAATCCTTGCCTCTCAGGGTAAGAGAACTAAATCATGATTGTGTTCGATGAAATTACAGTTGAATGAGTTGTTTGTTTTGTTCTTGATTTCATTCAGTGCCTTGCTTACTGAAAGCCTATTATATTCCAAAGAGATGAAGGACACAGACAAAACCGACAAGCAAATAATCAGGGTCCTGTTGGTGCTTCCAGGCAAATACCGTGGGGATGTCAGCAGGGTGAGGGGCTGGGTGGTGAGCCCAGACAGAGCAGGCTGCTGGCAAAGGTCTGGAGGGAGACACCTCCAGGCTGACGCAGTGCAAAAGCACTGTGGTAGGGCCAGTGCCTCCACTTGTCCAAAGCACCCCCCCCCCCCCCGTCTTTCCACCCCTGCCCACTCTGCTCCTTCACTTTGGCATTTGGTTTACAGTTTTTTATAATCCACCCTATTGCCCATATCAAAGCTGAGATCCCCTTTCCTTCAGCCACCCCTGTGGTCATCAAAGCAAACACTGTCATGGTACAAAACCACTACTTCCTACTAATTCCAAGTAGCCTGCTTCATTTAGTCCCATTTGGGCTCTAAGCAAGGTCTTCCTTTGATTCAGAAGCCATCCCTCTTGGGCTGCCATTCATTATTCCTGGTTCTCTTTCGGTGGATGGCAATCTTTCCTGTGTCTTAATCACATGAGCCAACCCACAGACTTTGCCTTGAACAATACCCAGCACACTGTAAGTTCTCCATAGACGGCTTCTGTTACTGCGCTCATTCTTCATAGCAATACACCTGTGAGCCAGGTGCTGTTATCTTCACCTTATAGACTGGAAAACGGGTTTAGGAACATTAAGTGACATCCAAGTTCACACCATGCGGCAGATAGAAGACTCAATCTTCGGTCTTTCAGAGTCCAAAACCCATACTTATAGATGACCTGACTCCCTAGATGACCTGACTCCCTACTTCCGGGAGTAGAAGGAGAAAACCTCCTCTTCCGGGCAGAAAAGCCTGGAATACAGCATCCTCTTGTTGATTTCTGCCCTTCACTTCTGACATTATGGATGTTCACTTCTTATTGGTTAATTATAAAAGAAAATACTTTTTGTAGAAAATGTTGTTAAATATAAAAAGAAAATAGAGAGGGGGGGGGAGAGCGAGCGCATTCATGATGACACTCTTTGGGTAGCTATCACAGGGACTCATGTTGAGCCACTGACACCTCACCTATTTCTCACATGTATGACTGGTTCATGGGGAGACCTGAGCTGAGTGAAGACTCAGTGCATTTGGTATCCTTTCTGGGCCGGCTCAGGGAATACAAATAATCACTATGTACAAATTATAAAACATCAGTTATATCAAAACTCTGCACTTAACCTTTTATATACTTGGTGTATTGTAAAAGTTGTGTAACTTGTGGCTTTCAAATTCTGACCATAGACTCACAGTAAGAGTTTTGACACCATGATCCAGTACATACTTATGTGAAACACTATTTTACTACATCCAATACTCTGCTCTTTTGTAATCTCTGTTTATCTTAAATACAGGATGCAGGTCGCTGTATAGATTTAATAACCCTCTCTGAAGGGCACCATCCACAGTTGGAAAAACACCAGCCAAACCATTTCCTAGCCACCTTTGAGAATATGTGTCTTGATTTTAGTACTTTGATTTGATGTCAGATAACTGTCTTAGATTTTTTATTTTTGTATTCTAGTCCATGAATCTCTTGAAGGAGAATAGTCTGAATACATCTTACATGTTTTTATTTGTTTGTTTGTTTTAAATTTTATTGATTTTTAGAGAGAGAGAAAGCGAGAGGCAGAGAGAGAGAGAAACATCTAAGGGAGAGGGAAATATCCATCAGCTGCCCCCTATACTCCCCTGAAACCAGACTTGTGCCCTGATTGGAATCAAACCAGCAACCTTTTGGTGCATGGGATGGTGCCCAACCAATAGAGCCACACCTGCAGGGCGCCTTTTTTTTTTTTTTTTTTTCAATACTGCTTATTGAACAAAATTTCCCACAACTTAATATCCACAACTCTGGAAGCTTCTAGTCATTTGATAGGTTGTGTGAATGGGGCTCTGGTGCTGCAAATAAACAAACATGCTGAGAGCTGGTCGTTTTCTAGAAGTGATCTGCTTCTCGCTCCTCGTGTTATTCTTTTTGCAGCAAAGAGCCTCTGGCTGAAACTTCACCAAAGGCAACTGCAGTGCGCTACCAGGCACGGGATGGGATCTGCTTTGAGAATGACCTTTACAACATGAATTAAGACCCAGCGGCCCTGCAAGGCGTTATGTCCTTGACTGCAGAAGACAGTGACCAGATCTCACCATGCCACAGTCCTTGAAAGCTCCAGAGTGGCTTCTCTTTCAATATTTCATCGTGTTCCAACACATGAGTGATGTTGTTTAGAGAGTCTTTAGCTCTTCTGTGTGTCATCAACCTTGTTGGTAATAAAGTCCTATTTTTTTATACTGTAATTGGCTCGATATTTCTGCTCATAGCAGCGCTCTCTCCCAAATAGTAAATGAACACTTTAGAATATATTTCTGCTCATAGCAGCGCTCTCTCCCAAATAGTAAATGAACACTTTAGAATTGTATATTCTCTTTAGACCTCATGAATCCTGTATCCATCTAGATTTCTCATTGGGTAGACAGGAAATGAACAAATGCCTTGCTCACCAAAACTGTCAAAACAGGGAATAAGAGTTTACATGCATGCATGCGTAACCATGGACACAGACAACAATGCTGGGGATGGGGGGCGGGGATGGGAGGAAGGTGTCAATGTGGGGAAAAGGAGAAACATCTGTAACAAAAATAAATTCATAAGAGAATTAAAAAAAAAAAAAGAACAGTGGACTAGGACTTAAAATAATCAAATCTGATTTGGCACTTAAATGACTTCCCTTGGAAGCATTCCATGATTATCTCTTATTTTTTATCTTGCAATTCCAAACATTACATTTCTTAAGTTACCCAAGGGTTTCAAATCATGGAGCTTCACAGTTATTTATATCCCTGATGGGGAGACAACTTGCATGATTTCATCATCAGATCTTTTTCTTTATAGTGATTTTGAAATATAAGGTTTTAAGTGCTTTCCCCGGGACCAGGATGGGGTTTGAGTAGTAAGAAGAAGCTAGAATGGTGAGTGGACCAAGCAAATACCAGGGGAAGAAATTCAATTGCCGAGTGATTTGGCACATGGATGCTACTTCTGCTCCATCTGTGCCATCGTTCCTGGCCCTTACAGAGACAGCTGTCGGGATCTGAACTGGGTTTAGAATGATGCAGGGCAGAGATAAATAAAAGGGCACAAGAAAGGCAGAGACTAGGGAAAAAGGCTTTCTGCCTTAGAAAAGTGAGTTTGCAAACACAACAGTGTTGTTTGAGAGTATTACTAGTTTTAATTGAAATTCTAAATCGTCCCCAAACCACTTTGATTTTTAAAATTATTTTGGATACAGAGGGTTTTTATTTTCATATCAATTTCTTATCAATTTCAATGCTGTTCCTTTTTCACAAACAAATTAAATTTTTGGTTTTTCCAAGAGAGTTAAACAAAGCAAAGGTCAGGATACTTTTAGCCACCAGAAACATTTCTACATAAACAATTAACAAGGCTGTATATTAATTTCAATCTGAGTTAATCCTGAAATAATTCATGTTTGGGGTTTAGTGCTACTCACACCAGCGTGGTCTAGGAGGATAGGATGCCTGTTTTTGAAGGTAACAGTTTTGAAACATAGCTGCAGAATTCTAGAAAACTAATAGCACTTTTGAATAAAGGCAATGTGGGCAAATGCAACTGGTAAACATTTATACTGGGTTTCCCAAATAGGGTGATATTAGCATGGTTTAAAATTTTTTGCTCAAAGTATAGTGTTTTTCTTTTAAATTCAAGACAACATGCATAACCATGGGGATTTCAGATTAAAGCCCAGAGTTGTAACTTCTCTGGAGAGACCGGGCAACAATGGATTGCACTGCTATGTAATCAGGACCCAATTTGATGTCATCCCATCCTCTCCCCACCCCCCACCCCCATCCTGGCCTTACCTGCATCTTACACCTGTCACCTGCTTTGTGACTTGTGGGGCTTTGAATTTATGCCTGTTCTATCTCCATACCTTTCCTGGAGACAGATCATGACACATTACAGGCTCTGGGAATCTGGTTAACTGTGTTTACTCCAGCATTTCCAATTTGTTTGAAACCCATGAGCACACTGGCTACTGGCATGCCGGCTGCACCATGAAACAGTACGGGGGGGGGGGGGGTGATGAGGGGACTGCCGGTGGTACACAGAATAGAACCAGACTTGAGTTCCACCCTAACTCTCACCAGTAACACTGGGTCACTCCAGGGCCAGTTGTTCTTTGTGCCTTTGTGTTCACATCTCTTAGAGATCATTATTCCCACATCTACATCGGAGTGTGGAGGCAAGTCTACTGACAATGACATGTTACTTGTGAGAAGTCTGTAAAGTGAAAAATATTACAGAAATGTAAAGGTATTTTTGGGGGGTGAATTTTTAGTTATAGTGGGTCTAGAATTAGTGCTCAGTAAATAATTTCAACAGTGTTACATTCATAAGCGTCTGGCTATATAGTACCACTTTTTTGAATAATTATTTTAAAGTTGATGTTGGGTAATTTGGCTATGATTTAACACTGTAGAAATTGTCAATAACTAAGAGGAAGAATGGGTTAGAAGGATGGAAGGGGAGGTATTTAGTTAATATTATTTTTTCTGTAAATTTGTCAATATTGTCGAATGTATTGAGTTTTGTTCTCTATCCTTGGAAACATGAGAATCCATTTCTAGCATCTGTCTTGGGACATTAGGACATGGGTGTAATTAAGACCATATTTTCAACTTAGGAAATGTTGCACGTCTTTAAGAAGCAGCAGAACCAGTTTTGCATTGATGGCTGTGAAGATAATTTTGTGAGTACATGTAGGTACACACTCACCAATAAATGTGATTTTGTTTTTATTTTGAAAACTGACTTCCTTTCTCAGGCTCATCAGTTAGGTGGGGCCTGGCATCTTCAACTTGCAGTGGGTCCCAGGACAGGGGCGGGGGCAGGGCAGGATTTGAGAGTCAAGTGTGTCTGGCTCTGCTCTAGGTGCTGGGGGTGGAGCCGAGAACACCCCTGAGCTCCAGTAGGGAAACCCCTAGACCATCAAGTCTGGCAGCAGTGAATGCTGTGGAGAAGGAGAACATGCTGCCAGAGCCGACCTCTCGTCCGTGGCATCTGGAGCCAGATAACCCTTGGTTGTGGGGGCTGCCTGGTGCATTGTAGGGTGTTTACAGCATCCCTGGCCTCTACCCACCAGGGGACCGTGTGCCCCTCCAGCTGTGACAACGGCAAATGTCTCCAGACATTACCAGATGTCTCCGGAGAGGCAATATCACCGCTGGTTGAAAATCAGGTCACTCGGGATGCCTGGGGGTGTGAGGATGTGGGAGGGGAGCGTGGGGAGAGGTGCAGGAGAGGTGAGATTTGATGAAACCAAACCGGGCAGCCACTCGGAGGAATCCACCCAGTGCCAGGGCCTTGGGGCCGGAAGAAGCTTGTGCATTAAGAGGGAGAGAGTAAGGTGCCTTCCGAGGATGGAAAGGGCTGTTAGGGCTGCAGCAGAGTGAGTGGCGGGAGGTTTGGGAGGAGATTCGGCTGGAGACAGGGCACTGCCTCTCACGGGGGCTGGATGCCAAGGGCTCTGTGAACACATCTGTTTGAGAAGAGTCTCCCTCTTAGAAAACAAAACGCTTTTCATAGTAAGGGTTACACTTGCTCTGCATCATCAAATTATGCTAACATTAACGTGCATCAGTGAGACTGTTCTAAGTTTACGTATAAAAAGCCAGTTTGGTTGGGGTGAGAGAAGACGATATGTAAAGAAAGGATAGGGGGAGAGGGGCACATCCTGGCAGCGAGGGGCTTTTCACAGGGCCCTGTGAGGGCACTCGGACCTCGGGAAAGGGGTCCTGGAAGAAGAAGTATAGGGTGCAAGGGTCTGGCTCTGTCTACTGGGCTGGGCAGCCGCTGAACCCATTCTTCCCAAACTTGTAGCTTGAAGTGGTGGAGAGGTGTTCTCTAGTGGTGACAAATGCCTCCGACATCCACTCTCCACTCTGTAGGTCAGCCACTTTTCGGGAATTGTTGTCTCCTGTATTTTCACTGGGCCCTTCATTCCTCAAGGCTCAGCCCATGTATCACCTCTCCAGTTGTGCTGGGCTTCATCCCCCGAGGCAGAAGTCATCTCCTCTTGCGAACACTGTGCAGCTCCCTTTAACCTGGCCGGATAGGCCGAGCATGGTGCTATTGCCTGGCTTGGGCCATTCATTCTACCTAGGGCCCGGGCACTACCTAGCATGTGTGGCACATTTGGGTGAATTACAGAGCGCCCCGCCTCCTTTCTCTGGCTGACACAGCCCCTGAGCCAGGGCAAAGACTTGTCACATGAAGTCTGTCCAAACTTAGAGCATACATAGTGACTCTATAGTGACCCTATAACTTAGTCCTTTGTACTGGACATGTGCAGGTTGGTGACACTTTGTAAACTGAGCTCTTTCAGGAAAGTGTCTGCAGTTTCTCAGCACCCAGCTCACACATAGTAGGTGCTCAGTATGTATTTACCAAAATCGGTGAATAAACTGAATGTTCCCTAGAACCTTCCTGTGTGTGCTGGGGGAGAGATGAGTGTCTTTAACACTCGTTATGAGATGGAAACAACCCTCCTCCTGTGGCCGGCTGGAGCCCGCGTGCACCTCGAGGACTCTGAGCCCGTGCTGAGCCGCTTGGCTACATTAGGACCACCCGGGAAGCTGGCCAACCACGCATGCCCAGACCAAGGGACGCAGAATCTCAGCAGGTGGGCCAGATAGGGGTTGTTGCTTAATCTCCCCAGGTGACTGCAATGTAGCCAAGGCTGAGAACCACTGACTTACTGAGACTTGTCTGGGAAGGTGAGAGCAGGTTTTCTTGTTCTGTGAGACGAGGTCTGGAAAAGCATAAACGATACAAACTAACACAGAAAGATATAAATAGCAGCGGGGACAGGTGAACAACCCAATGTGGAAATAGCACGGCCCTGGGTGACAGCAGATCTCTCCTGCGTCTGGCTTCCACGGCAGCAGCATTGTATTGGTGGCAGCCCCGGGAACCAGAAGTTGGACCTGCCGCACTTTGGCAAGCTTCTCGGGAAGCCGGCCCACAGCTGTCCAGCTGCCTGTCCCTGGGCCTCCGAAGAACTAG